TCTGGCTGGGGGTCAGAGGAGGATGGAACTGATAGCTTTGAATACAGCAAAGCCCCGCGCGGGTGGCCTGGAGCCAAGCCTGCCTCACCAGCTCCTTTCCCTGCATTCAATAACAGCCGTGCAAATGTGCCAAGGCCCAGAGGATGTGGTGCTGGAGCCGCGTGAACGATGGCTCAGGGACTGGCCACAGGATCAGACCCTCTTGAGCGTCCTGGGAAGGGACATCCAATTCGTTAGGTCCAAGAAAAGAGAGAAATGTCTGAGCGCCTCAGATCAGCCCTGATTTATTTTTTAACTCCCCTCCTCTGGGTTGACTTTGCGCATGTTTCTCCTGCAGCCCCTTCCAACTCCTGAGCCAGAAAGCCCAGCGGAGATGCAAACTTCTGCAGGCCCGTGCCCGCACCTCCACACAGGCTGAGCTCCTCTGAGCATGTGGAGCCCCTCCTGGGGCAGCCGGGCTGGCTCCCCGCAGCAAAGTAGCTGCTACTGGGTACTGCAGGGGCACTGAGGGCAGGCAGCCGGCCGAGGGGCAGGATGAGCACCCTGCCATGGATGGGCTCAGTGTTTTCTGCTCTCTTAGCTCCTTGCGACCCTCTTTAATTCCTTCTTTTAGGCTTGTGACCTCCTTCGGCTGCCTCCCAGGGCAACGACAAGAGTCTGTGCTGGGAAAGCACATCCCTGGAGGAAGCCAGGCTCCTTGGGGCAGCTGGTGCTCTCAGAGAAGGAGGACCGTCGTGATGGAAACCAGAGGTGCATGGCCCAAGCTGCCTGCTCTGCACCACCAGATCCGCTGTAAGGTCCACAACAAGAAGCTGGGAAGTTTCTCCTCATGCTCTGTCACTTGTTTTGTAGATTCCCACTTGAAGTGACCCTGAAGGACGATTCGCAGAAGTGCCCCACATGCCGTGCTGGGCTCACTCCCAACCTGTCCCATGAGTCTGCTCCTGCGTCGTCTCTGCTGTGTGTGAGTGAGACCGAGATTGCCCCGGTGTTGGTGTTACAGCCTTAGCTTGCGTCTGGGCATGCGTGGAGCCCGTTGATTGTGCCTGAGCTAGCGTGGAGCACGAGCGCCTTTCCAACACGGAGCGCGCGCGGGACAAGGTGCAGGGACAGCAGTGTTGGCGCAGGGCGACGCCACTGCACAGAGCTGACGTTATCTCCAGGCACTGATTGCATGGGGCATAAAAGCAAAATGACGTCTAGTCCCCGAGGTGTTTGTTTGTAGCCTTCTCTGCATGGCTTGGGCTCCCTAAGGCAGCGTTTCCCTCAGGGCTGCATGATGGGTCGTGCTCCTGGGAGTTGGGGTGGAAGGAGAAGCCCTTGAGGGCTCGTCCTCCCAGGGGAAGGAGCTGGCAGCAATTCCCAGGCTTGGGAATGCCGGGGGGGATGATGGGGCTGCTGCCGGGGGTGCTTCCTGGGGCTAGATGCCGGCAGCCAGCCTGCAGCAGAGGGAGGCACTGGGGCAGGAGGCACAAGTCCCTCAGGGGGGATCAGCTCGAGATATGATTTGTGCCACAGCGCGCGGTGGGAGGGAAGAGACGCAGGGGAACCCGCGTGCCCGAGCCCGGCTGCGCCTCGGCACCCGCGGCTCCCCGGGTCGCCACGGCAGAAAGCCAACACGCACCCTTCCCACCCCAACCCCGCCGCCC